AACTGCTGTTGAATTTTGCTCCACGTGTTTGTATTGATAAATGAAAATGACAATATTCATGAGGTATTTTTTGAAGAGGATCGTCAAGGAAGCATCGTCAAGCGGGTCCTCTCGGTACAGGGACCATCTGAGTCATTTGTCTTTTTGCCTAAAATGCGTTTTTTTGTATTTTTTTGCCCTCAAAACCATAGATTACGATGGGCTAGGAACTAGAAAACCTAGGATAAGAAAGTCCTTGGATACACCTATACATTTACCAAGTTACATTGGAGTAAACCTAGTACAAGCTGAGTTGCAGATAAAAACAAGAATCAAATACAGTGGTACGACCATTTTTAGAAGCAGTATCCCTCAAGATTGGAAAGAAATAGAGAGATGATCGACCACTCGTTGGAAAGGTCTCGTAAAGGAGCTTGTTTTGTTGGGGTAGGAAACATCAAGGTTCTCTGGCATCTTGCCAAAATCGAGATTTTGTTATTTTAAGCCCAAAAAAGCAAGGATAACAAGGAGCCAGGAACTTGAAAATCTGGGACCAGAGAAGTTTTGATCACTTACTACTCGAGGTTTTGGGCACTTCCTACTATGTGCCTAGTTTCATGTGTGTAGGCATAACATAAGCGAGGATAAAGAAGAAAAACTGTAAAAACGGCCAATTTTAGCTTATGGCTTATCTTTTTTCTGAAATCAAAGATTGCAAAAAAATGCTTCCCTAATAACAAAATGAGTGATATATTTCCAAGGACAATGAAATTGTTTGGCTTGCCCAAGGACCCAACTATGTGGAGGAGATGTAAGATATCTTAGATTGGTCCACAGGGCATACAATCTTTCCATTCTTGTGACTCATATCTCATTCCTCAGTCAAGTTATATCCTCATCTTCGGCAACTTTCCTGTACCATCATGGCCCACAAAATTTCAGTTGGAAATCTTAGCTGGTAAACAGTTCCAATAAATCTAACTCTAATATTGGAAACTTTTGAATTCCAGCATTTTTCAGCGGGGACCAGCCCTTGTACCTCCCTCCCCCAAGTGAGTTATCACTGTTCTGGAAACGGATGAGAAAATATAACTTGTCAGGTATTTCTGAGTCTCACATATCTCTCTCTCTCTTTCTGATTCCTCTCTCTCTCTTTCTCTTTTCTCTCTGATCTCGCTCTCTCTTTCTTTGCGATCCTAATAATAATAATAATAACAGACAAGAACAAAGAACACCTCTGTGCCACGCTTATTTTGGCCAATTAACAAAATGAACAAAATTCAGTAGGAGTGCCACACAGTTACTGTTATCCTTATCAACATCTTTATTGTCATTAAGAGGCACCTAGTATTAGTGTCATCATCATTTCTATTACTAGAATTATCATTATAATTGTTATTTTCATCCTCATAATCACTGACATTATCATCATTATTGTCATAACCATTCTCATCATTATCAATTCAACTGTAACTGACACCGTTATTATAAGATAAAGATATCAAGATTACCACTGTTATAGTCATTACAATCACTATACAATGTAAACATAAAGATTGATTTTGTGAAAGTGCGAAACCCATCAAGTGCTTTCCATAGCTATTATGTCTTTATCTTTTCATTATATGAGGCTCTCACTTCCACACAATAAACTCGAGGTAGGTACGGGAAACTATCATTCTTATTAACATATTTCATTTGTTGATCCTCCTTTTACACAATGGAATATGATGCATCGTGCCTCCTCCATGTCTTCGAGGAGAGTAAAGTCATTAATGAAGCTAATTAGTCAGTAATTTGTCTTGAGTTAAGGCTGGCAGACGAGGCAGATCGGGAATCTAAATCTTTAATCATAAACCTTAACATGTCCATTAGAGAACAGAAAGTTTAAAAACAAAACTCATCTCTTCGCACTATAATTATGCGATAGAACAGAAACTGAATAAAACGGTTTACTGAGTAATCATAATCAATTAACGTGCATTAAATGAACCAACCAACCAAACAAATAAACACAAATAAATAGAGAGAGAGAGAGAGAGAGAGAGAGAGAGAGAGAGAGAGAGAGAGAGAGAGAGAGAGAGAGAGAGAGAGAGAGAGAGAGAGAGAGAGTGAGAGTGAGAGTGAGTGAGTGAGTGAGTGAGAGAGAGAGAGAGAGAGAGAGAGAGAGAGAGAGAGAGAGAGAGAGAGAGAGAGAGAGAGAGAGAGAGAGAGAGAGAGAGAGAGAGTGAGTGAGTGAGTGAGTGAGTGAGTGAGTGAGAGAGAGAGAGAGAGAGAGAGAGAGAGAGAGAGAGAGAGAGAGAGAGAGAGAGAGATAGTGAGGAGTGAGTGAGTGAGTGAGTGAGTGAGTGAGTGAGTGAGTGAGTGAGTGAGTGAGTGAGAGAGAGAGAGAGAGAGAGAGAGAGAGAGAGAGAGAGAGAGAGAGAGAGAGAGAGAGAGAGAGAGAGAGAGAGAGAGAGAGAGAGAGAGAGGAGAGAGTTTTAATTAATGTATGGGGTTGTATATTTGATAAACCAGATAC